ACTGGATAATCGTTTGTGGTCAAATGTTATTGCACAGCAGATTTCAAACTTGAAGATGGCTTATGAAAATAGTTTTCCTTAAATAAACATTCATAAATATACCGGATTACACCAGTTCCTTCCTTTGAACACTTCAAACATGCTACGCAATACATGTAGTGTAGCGGTGATCACGTGCATCTTACACGCCAAAGAACCCAATTCGGAACTTAGCGGAAACAAACCACATGTGTACTGTGCTTTTTTATTCCTGCCATAAAAAAGATAAAGAATTTAAAAATTAGCGAAACATCGGGTGTTCCAAAACATATACAAATTTGTTTGCTTGGAAGTGCGATATTTCTTAATTAGACCTTGGAATGCGAGAGCTTTTTGGAGGCGCAAGGTAAACGGTTTGACAATGTACAGAAACAGCTATGTGCCCTGTGTTTCTTTCATATATTTAATTTAAACCTGTAACCGTTATGGCTCGTAAAAAACAATTTTTGATCTTAATTTCCGCAACGTAGAGAGTTCTATAGTTATTTTACTAAAATTTCCAATACGATATTTTGCCAATTAAAAATCTGAGGGGAAATATTCTTTTTCATCCACGGGAAAGTTTTCGTAGTGTAGTGGTTATCACATGCACTTCACACGTGCAAGGTTCCCAGTTCAAACCAGGGCGGAAACATTTCGCTTTCTTTCCCTCTTTTAAAAACACAATTTTGCCATTGTTGTTCTGCTGACTGTTCTTTGCATGTTTCCGTAGCTGCCTCGTCCACAGGCTCGTCTTAAGTTTTGGCTTATTTTATGTATATACCAGTTTTAAATCATTGAAGGAATGGGGACGAGGCACTTTCCGTAGTTTAGCGGTTATCACGTTCGCGCTAACACGCGCAAGGTCCCCAGTTCAAATCCTGGGCGGAAACACAATTTGCTTCTACTTTTCCTATTTTTAATACTGGATAATCGTTTGTGGTCAAATTTTAACACTCAGCAGATTTCAAACGTGAAGATGGCTTATGAAAATAGTTTTCCTTAAATAAATAATTCATAGATATACCAGATCACACCAGCTCCGTCCTTTGAACACTTCAAAGATGCTACGCAATTCATGTAGTGTAGCGGTAATCACATTGTCTTTACACGCCAGAGAAACCAATTTAGAACTTAACGGAAAATAACCACATGTGCGCTGTGCTTCTTTCTTCCTGCCATATAAATAAGATAAAGAATTCGAAAATTGGCGAAACATCGGGTGTTCCAATGACATATACAATTTTTTTTGCTTAGAAGTGCGATATTTCTTAATTAGACCTTGGAATGCGAGAGCTCTTTAGAGGCGCAAGGTAAACGTTTGACCATGTACAGAAACAGCTATGTGCGCTGTGTTTCTTTAATACATTTTATTTAAACCTTTAACCGTTATGGCTTGTAGAAAACAATTTTTGATCTTAATTTCTGCAACGTAGAGAGTTCTATAGTTATTTTACTAAAAATTTCCAGAATTCGATATTTTGCCAATTAAAATTCAGAAGAGAAATAATCTCTTTCAACCACGGGAAAAGTTTTCGTAGTGTAGTGGTTATCACATGCGCTTCACACGTGCAAGGTCCCCAGTTCAACCTGGGCAGAAACATTTCGCCTTCTTTCCCTCTTTTAAAGACACAATTTTGCCATTCTTGTTCTGCTGACTGTTCTTTGCGTGTTTCCGTAGCTGCCTCGTCCACAGGCTCTTCTTAAGTATTGGCTTATTTTATGTATACCAGTTTTACATCATTGAAGCAAATGGGGACGGGGCAGTTTCCGTAGTGTAGCGGTTATCACGTGCGCCTAACACGCGCAAGGTCCCCAGTTCAATCTGGGCGGAAAAACTTTGCTTCTACTTTTCCTATTTTTAAACTGGATAATCGTTTGTGGTCAAATGTTATTGCACAGCAGATTTCAAACTTGAAGATGGCTTATGAAAATAGTTTTCCTTAAATAAAACATTCATAATATACCGGATTACACCAGTTCCTTCCTTTGAACACTTCAAACATGCTACGCAATACATGTAGTGTAGCGGTGATCACGTGCATCTTACACGCCAAAGAACCCAATTCGGAACTTAGCGGAAACAAACCACATGTGTACTGTGCTTTTTTATTCCTGCCATATAAAAAAGATAAAGAATTTAAAAATTAGCGAAACATCGGGTGTTCCAATAACATATACAAATTTGTTTGCTTGGAAGTGCGATATTTCTTAATTAGACCTTGGAATGCGAGAGCTTTTTGGAGGCGCAAGGTAAACGGTTTGACAATGTACAGAAACAGCTATGTGCCCTGTGTTTCTTTCATATATTTAATTTAAACCTGTAACCGTTATGGCTCGTAAAAAAATTTTTTTGATCTTAATTTCCGCAACGTAGAGAGTTCTATAGTTATTTTACTAAAATTTCCATATACGATATTTTGCCAATTAAAAATCTGAGGGGAAATATTCTTTTTCATCCACGGGAAAGTTTTCGTAGTGTAGTGGTTATCACATGCACTTCACACGTGCAAGGTTCCCAGTTCAAACCAGGGCGGAAACATTTCGCTTTCTTTCCCTCTTTTAAAAACACAATTTTGCCATTGTTGTTCTGCTGACTGTTCTTTGCATGTTTCCGTAGCTGCCTCGTCCACAGGCTCGTCTTAAGTTTTGGCTTATTTTATGTATATACCAGTTTTAAATCATTGAAGCGAATGGGGACGAGGCACTTTCCGTAGTTTAGCGGTTATCACGTTCGCCTAACACGCGCAAGGTCCCCAGTTCAATCCTGGGCGGAAACACAATTTGCTTCTACTTTTCCTATTTTTAATACTGGATAATCGTTTGTGGTCAAATTTTAACACTCAGCAGATTTCAAACGTGAAGATGGCTTATGAAAATAGTTTTCCTTAAATAAATAATTCATAGATATACCAGATCACACCAGCTCCGTCCTTTGAACACTTCAAAGATGCTACCTAATTCATGTAGTGTAGCGGTAATCACATGCACCTTACACGCCAGAGAACCCAATTCAGAACTTAACGGAAACAAACCACATGTGCGCTGTGCTTCTTTCTTCCTGCCATATAAATAAGATAAAGAATTCGAAAATTGGCGAAACATCGGGTGTTCCAATGACATATACAATTTTTTTTTCTTAGAAGTGCGATATTTCTTAATTAGACCTTGGAATGCGAGAGCTCTTTAGAGGCGCAAGGTAAACTGTTTGACCATGTACAGAAACAGCTATGTGCGCTGTGTTTCTTTCATACATTTTATTTAAACCTTTAACCGTTATGGCTTGTAGAAAACAATTTTTGATCTTAATTTCTGCAACGTAGAGAGTTCTATAGTTATTTTACTAAAATTTCCAGAATTCGATATTTTGCCAATTAAAATTCAGAAGAGAAATAATCTCTTCCAACCACGGGAAAGTTTTCGTAGTGTAGTGGTTATCACATGCGCTTCACACGTGCAAGGTCCCCAGTTCAAACCTGGGCAGAAACATTTCGCCTTCTTTCCCTCTTTTAAAAATCGGGTGTTCCAATAACATATACAAATTTGTTTGCTTGGAAGTGCGATAATTCTTAATTAATTAGACTTTGGAATGCGAGAGCTCTTTAGAGGCGCAAGGTAAACGGTTTGACCATGTACAGAAAAAGCTATGTACGCTATGTTTCTTCCATATCTTCCAATTTTTGATCTTAATTTCCGCAACGTACAGAATTCTATAGTTATTTTACTAAAATTTCTAGAATTCGATATTTTGCCAATTAAAAATCAGAGGGGAAATATTCTTTTTCAACCGCGGGAAAGTTTTCGTAGTGTAGTGGTTATCACATGCGCTTCACACGTGCAAGGTCCCCAGATCAAACCTGGGCGGAAACATTTCGCCTTCTTTCCCTCTTTTAAAGACGCAATTTTGCCATTCTTGTTCTGCTGACTGTTCTTTGCGTGTTTCCATAGCTGCCTCGTCCACAGGCTGTTCTTAAGTTTTGGCTTTTTTATGTATATACCAGTTTTACATCATTGAAGCGAATGGGGACGAGGCAGTTTCCGTAGTAGAGCGGTTATCACGTGCGCCTAACACGCGCAAGGTCCCCAGTTCAATCCTGGGCGGAAACACAATTTGCTTCTACTTTTTCCTATTTTTAATACTGGATAATCGTTTGTGGTCAAATTTTAACACTCAGCAGATTTCAAACGTGAAGATGGCTTATGAAAATAGTTTTCCTTAAATAAATAATTCATAGATATACCAGATCACACCAGCTCCGTCCTTTGAACACTTCAAAGATGCTACGCAATTCATGTAGTGTAGCGGTAATCACATTGTCTTTACACGCCAGAGAAACCAATTTAGAACTTAACGGAAAATAACCACATGTGCGCTGTGCTTCTTTCTTCCTGCCATATAAATAAGATAAAGAATTCGAAAATTGGCGAAACATCGGGTGTTCCAATGACATATACAATTTTTTTTGCTTAGAAGTGCGATATTTCTTAATTAGACCTTGGAATGCGAGAGCTCTTTAGAGGCGCAAGGTAAACGGTTTGACCATGTACAGAAACAGCTATGTGCGCTGTGTTTCTTTAATACATTTTATTTAAACCTTTAACCGTTATGGCTTGTAGAAAACAATTTTTGATCTTAATTTCTGCAACGTAGAGAGTTCTATAGTTATTTTACTAAAATTTCCAGAATTCGATATTTTGCCAATTAAAATTCAGAAGAGAAATAATCTCTTTCAACCACGGGAAAGTTTTCGTAGTGTAGTGGTTATCACATGCGCTTCACACGTGCAAGGTCCCCAGTTCAAACCTGGGCGGAAACATTTCGCCTTCTTTCCCTCTTTTAAAGACACAATTTTGCCATTCTTGATCTGCTGACTGTTCTTTGCGTGTTTCCGTAGCTGCCTCGTCCACAGGCTCTTCTTAAGTATTGGCTTATTTTATGTATATACCAGTTTTACATCATTGAAGCAAATGGGGACGGGGCAGTTTCCGTAGTGTAGCGGTTATTCACGTGCGCCTAACACGCGCAAGGTCCCCAGTTCAATCCTGGGCGGAAAAACTTTGCTTCTACTTTTCCTATTTTTAAAACTGGATAATCGTTTGTGGTCAAATGTTATTGCACAGCAGATTTCAAACTTGAAGATGGCTTATGAAAATAGTTTTCCTTAAATAAAACATTCATAAATATACCGGATTACACCAGTTCCTTCCTTTGAACACTTCAAACATGCTACGCAATACATGTAGTGTAGCGGTGATCACGTGCATCTTACACGCCACAAGAACCCAATTCGGAACTTAGCGGAAACAAACCACATGTGTACTGTGCTTTTTTATTCCTGCCATATAAAAAAGATAAAGAATTTAAAAATTAGCGAAACATCGGGTGTTCCAATAACATATACAAATTTGTTTGCTTGGAAGTGCGATATTTCTTAATTAGACCTTGGAATGCGAGAGCTTTTTGGAGGCGCAAGGTAAACGGTTTGACAATGTACAGAAACAGCTATGTGCCCTGTGTTTCTTTCATATATTTAATTTAAACCTGTAACCGTTATGGCTCGTAAAAAACAATTTTTGATCTTAATTTCCGCAACGTAGAGAGTTCTATAGTTATTTTACTAAAATTTCCATAATACGATATTTTGCCAATTAAAAATCTGAGGGGAAATATTCTTTTTCATCCACGGGAAAGTTTTCGTAGTGTAGTGGTTATCACATGCACTTCACACGTGCAAGGTTCCCAGTTCAAACCAGGGCGGAAACATTTCGCTTTCTTTCCCTCTTTTAAAAACACAATTTTGCCATTGTTGTTCTGCTGACTGTTCTTTGCATGTTTCCGTAGCTGCCTCGTCCACAGGCTCGTCTTAAGTTTTGGCTTATTTTATGTATATACCAGTTTTAAATCATTGAAGCGAATGGGGACGAGGCACTTTCCGTAGTTTAGCGGTTATCACGTTCGCCTAACACGCGCAAGGTCCCCAGTTCAATCCTGGGCGGAAACACAATTTGCTTCTACTTTTCCTATTTTTAATACTGGATAATCGTTTGTGGTCAAATTTTAACACTCAGCAGATTTCAAACGTGAAGATGGCTTATGAAAATAGTTTTCCTTAAATAAATAATTCATAGATATACCAGATCACACCAGCTCCGTCCTTTGAACACTTCAAAGATGCTACGCAATTCATGTAGTGTAGCGGTAATCACATTGTCTTTACACGCCAGAGAAACCAATTTAGAACTTAACGGAAAATAACCACATGTGCGCTGTGCTTCTTTCTTCCTGCCATATAAATAAGATAAAGAATTCGAAAATTGGCGAAACATCGGGTGTTCCAATGACATATACAATTTTTTTGCTTAGAAGTGCGATATTTCTTAATTAGACCTTGGAATGCGAGAGCTCTTTAGAGGCGCAAGGTAAACGGTTTGACCATGTACAGAAACAGCTATGTGCGCTGTGTTTCTTTAATACATTTTATTTAAACCTTTAACCGTTATGGCTTGTAGAAAACAATTTTTGATCTTAATTTCTGCAACGTAGAGAGTTCTATAGTTATTTTACTAAAATTTCCAGAATTCGATATTTTGCCAATTAAAATTCAGAAGAGAAATAATCTCTTTCAACCACGGGAAAGTTTTCGTAGTGTAGTGGTTATCACATGCGCTTCACACGTGCAAGGTCCCCAGTTCAAACCTGGGCAGAAACATTTCGCCTTCTTTCCCTCTTTTAAAGACACAATTTTGCCATTCTTGTTCTGCTGACTGTTCTTTGCGTGTTTCCGTAGCTGCCTCGTCCACAGGCTCTTCTTAAGTATTGGCTTATTTTATGTATATACCAGTTTTACATCATTGAAGCAAATGGGGACGGGGCAGTTTCCGTAGTGTAGCGGTTATCACGTGCGCCTAACACGCGCAAGGTCCCCAGTTCAATCTTGGGCGGAAAAACTTTGCTTCTACTTTTCCTATTTTAAAACTGGATAATCGTTTGTGGTCAAATGTTATTGCACAGCAGATTTCAAACTTGAAGATGGCTTATGAAAATAGTTTTCCTTAAATAAAACATTCATAAATATACCGGATTACACCAGTTCCTTCCTTTGAACACTTCAAACATGCTACGCAATACATGTAGTGTAGCGGTGATCACGTGCATCTTACACGCCAAAGAACCCAATTCGGAACTTAGCGGAAACAAACCACATGTGTACTGTGCTTTTTTATTCCTGCCATAAAAAAGATAAAGAATTTAAAAATTAGCGAAACATCGGGTGTTCCAATAACATATACAAATTTGTTTGCTTGGAAGTGCGATATTTCTTAATTAGACCTTGGAATGCGAGAGCTTTTTGGAGGCGCAAGGTAAACGGTTTGACAATGTACAGAAACAGCTATGTGCCCTGTGTTTCTTTCATATATTTAATTTAAACCTGTAACCGTTATGGCTCGTAAAAAACAATTTTTGATCTTAATTTCCGCAACGTAGAGAGTTCTATAGTTATTTTACTAAAATTTCCATAATACGATATTTTGCCAATTAAAAATCTGAGGGGAAATATTCTTTTTCATCCACGGGAAAGTTTTCGTAGTGTAGTGGTTATCACATGCACTTCACACGTGCAAGGTTCCCAGTTCAAACCAGGGCGGAAACATTTCGCTTTCTTTCCCTCTTTTAAAAACACAATTTTGCCATTGTTGTTCTGCTGACTGTTCTTTGCATGTTTCCGTAGCTGCCTCGTCCACAGGCTCGTCTTAAGTTTTGGCCTATTTTATGTTATACCAGTTTTAAATCATTGAAGCGAATGGGGACGAGGCACTTTCCGTAGTTTAGCGGTTATCACGTTCGCCTAACACGCGCAAGGTCCCCAGTTCAATCCTGGGCGGAAACACAATTTGCTTCTACTTTTCCTATTTTTAATACTGGATAATCGTTTGTGGTCAAATTTTAACACTCAGCAGATTTCAAACGTGAAGATGGCTTATGAAAATAGTTTTCCTTAAATAAACAATTCATAGATATACCAGATCACACCAGCTCCGTCCTTTGAACACTTCAAAGATGCTACGCAATTCATGTAGTGTAGCGGTAATCACATTGTCTTTACACGACAGAGAAACCAATTTAGAACTTAACGGAAAATAACCACATGTGCGCTGTGCTTCTTCTTCCTGCCATATAAATAAGATAAAGAATTCGAAAATTGGTGAAACATCGGGAGTTCCAATGACATATACAAATTTTTTTGCTTAGAAGTGCGATATTTCTTAATAAGACCTTGGAATGCGAGAGCTCTTTAGAGGCGCAAGGTAAACGGTTTGACCATGTACAGAAACAGCTATGTGCGCTGTGTTTCTTTCATACATTTTATCTAAGCCTGTAACCGTTCTGGCTCGTACAAAACAATTTTTGATCTTAATTTCCGCAACGTAAAGAGTTCTATAGTTGTTTTACTAAAATTTCTAGAATTCGATATTTTGCAATTTAAAAATCAGGGAGAAATATTCTTTTTCAACCACGGGAAAGTTTTCGTAGTGTAGTGGTTATCACATGCGCTTCACACGTGGAAGGTTCCCAATTCAAACCCGGGCGGAAACATTTCGCTTTCTTCCCCTCTTTTAAAAATCGGGTGTTCCAATAACATATACAAATTTGTTTGCTTGGAAGTGCGATATTTCTTAATTAGACCTTGGAATGCGAGAGCTCTTTAGAGGCGCAAGGTAAACGGTTTGACCATGTACAGAAAAAGCTATGTACGCTATGTTTCTTCCATATTTTTTTTTAAACCTGTAACCGTTATAGCTTGTGAAAAACAATTTTTGATCTTAATTTCCGCAACGTAGAGAATTCTATAGCTATTTTACTAAAATTTCCAGCATTCGATATTTTGCCACTTAAAATTCCAAGGGAAATGTTCTTTTTTAACAAAGGGAAAGTTTTCGTAGTGTAGTGGTTATCACATGCGCTTCACACGTGCAAGGTCCCCAGTTCAAACCTTGGCGGAAACATTTCGCTTCCTTCCTCTCTTTTAAAGACACAATTTTGCCATTCTTTTTCTGAGGCCTGTTCTTTGCGTGTTTCCGTAGCTGCCTCGTCCACAGGCTCTTCTTAAGTTTTGTTCTAATTTTTTAAATACCAATTTTACATCATTGAAGCAAATGGGGACGAGGCAGTTTCCGTAGTGTAGCGGTTATCACGTGCGCCTAACACGCGCAAGGTCCCCAGTTCAATCCTAGGCGGAAACACAATTTGCTTCTACTTTTCCTATTTTGAATACTGGATAATCGTTTGTAGTCAAATTTTATCGCACAGCAGATTTCAAACGTTAAGATGGCTTATGAAAATTTTTCCTTAAATAAACAATTCATAAATATACCGGATCACACCAGCTCCGTCCTTTGAACACTTCAAAGATGCACGCAATTCATGTAGTGTAGCGGTAATCACATGCACCTTACACGCCAGAGAACCCAATTCAGAACTTAGCGGAAACAAACCACATGTGCGCTGTGCTTCTTTCTTCCTGCCATATAAATAAGATAAAGAATTCGAAAATGGGCGAAAGATCGGGTGTTCCAATGACATATACAAATTTTTTTGCTAAGAAGTGCGATATTTCTTAATTAGACCTTGGAATGCGAGAGCTCTTTAGAGGCGCAAGGTAAACGGTTTGACAATGTACAGAAACAGCTATGTGGGCTGTGTTTCTTTCATACATTTTATTTAAGCCTGTAACCGTTATGGTTCGTAGAAAACAATTTTTGATCTTAATTTCCGTAACGTAAAGAGTTCTATAGTTATTTTACTAAAATTTCTAGAGTTCGATATTTTGCCAATTAAAAATCAGAGGGGAAATATTCTTTTTCATCCACGGGAAAGTTTTCGTAGTGTAGTGGTTATCACATGCCCTTCACACGTGCAAGGTTCCCAGTTCAAACCAGGGCGGAAACATTTCGCTTTCTTCCCCTCTTTTAAAAACACAATTTTGCCATTGTTGTTCTGCTGACTGTTCTTTGCATGTTTCCGTAGCTGCCTCGTCCACAGGCTCGTCTTAAGTT